ATTTTTATTTATTAACCTTTAGTAACAATAACTACCTCATAAATATTATTTGTTATCAGTATAGTTTATTTTAATCTTAAGGTTTATCTTTGTTGTATTAATATCGTCTTAGCAGTTGCCAAACTATGTCAACATAGCTTGATTTAGTATTTTTTTTCATGTGAAAATTTGATAGATAATATTATGTACTTAAATTTAATATTTAACTGAAAATAAAAAAATTATATAGATAATACATATTATAATTGAAAGGTAGTTGTTATTTTTTTAAATTTAGTTAACCCTCGGCCACATAGGCYATTGGGTGTAGGGAGGGTACTGTAGGGTTTTAAGTTGAGTAGGTTTTTGGTACWCATGTGTGTTTTTGTCAAAAMTTTTAGTASGCACTAGTAGGTTTCTGCCATGGGGGTTGGCGCCTTCTCGTTTCAGACAGTGTGAACTGCTCGAAAAGCGATGCTGCCCATTACCGGGATTTGAACCGGTGACGGTGCATGTTGCAACCGACACCTTAATCCGCTCGGCCACTATACCCCCTATTATTTTATATTTTATAGCATTTAATAAAATACTGAAAACACCCTAATTGTTTATTCTGTGTTTTCAAAATCAATGGGTATGAGTGAGGTTAGTTGTTGTTTTTAGAAATCAAGGTTAGTTTAGAGTTAAAAAAAAAATTAATGTCTACCAGTTTATATTTATAATTAATTCAAAGTTCCAATTTCAAGGCTCCATTCCAGTAATATTATAAAATGTTTCAAATTGCAACCAAATTTTATACTTACGTCTGTCAACAAATAATCATAAGGGGGTTGTAGTGGCCGGGCAGATTAAGTCGTTGGTTGTGACGCGCACTGTAACTGGTTCGAATCCCAGTCATGGGCGGCATAACCTTCCGGGCAGTTTAAGCTGTCTGGAAAGAGAGGCCGCCGCTCACCCAAACGGGCATGGCAGAAACTTAAGGGTGCCCATTCGAAATTTTGCCAAAAAACATCCATGAGTACCAACCTACAGTTCCCTCCMTCACAGTTCCACAGGCTAATGGCCCTTGTCGTCGAAGCCTCAACCACTCCCCCAAAAAAAATAAATAATCATACAAAATTAAATTATTATTTTGATAGGTAAATGATTCAAATTCTGTTTCTAATACTTGCAATCGGTGATTAGTTACTTTAATAACAAAWAAATCAAACCATTAAGTTTATTTCACACGTGACAAATGAATAAGAATAAAATAAATGTGTTTATTTTTAAGTGAATTCATTGCATTTATGTTGCAAACATTCATTACATGTATGTTGACCACCTTCAATATTTAGTGATTTGGTATAGTAATTATATAGATTACTTAACGAGTAGTTAACTAACGGATATCTAAATTCCATAAGATTTAAATATTTATTACAATTATAAAGTAAAAATCTCTAAAATATAATTAGGTTAGTATTCAGAGTAGRTATGCCACACCCATTCATATTGTTTTGTCTTACAAACATACCAAATTTGTGTTATACGAGTGAATTGGATATGGCCAAACTTCAAACTATGAACATTAGGTATTTATGTTTTTTTTTTACGATTTCCATATTTTTATGAAAGAATTTTAAAATTATGAAATGCACAGGTAATGTTCTTGCCTTTAAGCTTGATAATAGGTCAATTCAGTATATTATTAAAGGTTATCACACAAAATTGAAATTGTTTAACTGCTTGAACTTAAATGTGTAAGACTACTGACTAAGATATCTCTAGATATACCTAAGGCATAATTTATATTTTTAAGGCTTTTATTAGAAAATACCTAGTAATAATAATTTTTGTTTTATTATTTCAGAGTTGATTTTAATGTTCCATTAAAGGATGGAAAAATAACCAACAACCAGCGTATTGTGGCTGCGTTAGACAGCATCAATTATGTCCTTGAGAATGGTGCCAAATCTTTAGTCCTCATGTCCCATCTTGGACGTCCAGATGGATTACCAAATTCAAAATACTCTATGAAGCCAGTTGCTGAAGAGCTCCAGAAACTCCTTAATAAGTAAATTATCATCTCTATCTTATTATTGAGTTTTTTTTAATTTACATATCTACTTATGTTAAAATGAACTATTTACTCAGTGTTGTATATTATTCAATATTTAACCGCTATCACTTTAAAAAAAATTGTTAAATATTCAAAATAAAATATTACATTTTTAAACAAACATAATATGAGGTACAAATAAACCTAAAATAATACTGATATAGATACAAGTTACCTACATAAAAATAAATGTGGGATATTTTAATTGTAGATTATAACTTGTAATAAATCCTTTATAAGTTGTGTTATCTTTAACTTTTTGTTTTCCTTCATTCCTTATAGAAACAAATCCTTATCCTCAATCATGAAAGATTGTTTTGATCAATT